AAGGGGATGGTTTGATGAGATAACATGATCTTGGTAACTAATTGACCATTCATTATCAGTGGGAAATAGGTCAATGGAGGGATGATAGGAGTTACTATAGAGAACTTTCTGGGTGTCTGGCTGGTGAGTCTTGCCCACATGCTCGGGGTTTAGCTGATCGCCATATTTGGGGTCAGGGAGGAATTTTCCTCCAGGGTAGATTGGCAGAGGCCCTGGAGGTTTTTCGCCTTCCTCTGTAGCATGGGGTACAGATCACAGCTGGAGGATTCTCTGCATCTTGGGGTCTTCAAAGTATTTGAAGGCTTCAATATCTGAGATATAGGTGAGAGGATTATTCTAGGAGGGGGTGGGTGAAATTCTGTGGCCTGCACTGTGCAGGGGGTCAGACTAGATGATCATAATGGTCCCTTCTGACCTTAAAGTCTATGGGTCTATGGGCTGATACAGGCTCACGGCACACAGGGCAGAGGGCAAACGTACCATCCTGCTGCAGGGCGACCTGGCCCGGAGCCACCGTGTGCTGGCACCATGTGGTCTGCCCATTTGCTCACAGACACTGCTAGGAGGCGGGAGCCCCGACCCCCCCCAGGATGCAGATGGGAAGCGTTGGGTCAGGCCCCAGCATGGTGACGTCCCTGGGGTGAGCAGGCTGGGTCCCCCCTGGTCCCACGCTGGGGGCGCAGACTGGGTCCCCCCCAGCCCAGCCCAGTTACAGCAGGGCAGAGGCCCTGTGCCTGAACTGATGGCTGCAGGGCAGACAGCCCCCAGGCGCAGCCAAAAGGCCTTGTGCAAGGGGGAGGGCGCCAGTTTGCGGCGAGGTCATGGCAGGAGCCATCATGAAATATTCATGGCCCTGCTGCACGTCTGGCATGGAGCCCAGCCCGCTGGGCCCTGCACGCACCGTGGCTCAGCCCGGCAGCTCTGGGCAAGGGGGGCTGGGCAGCACAGACCCCGGGCCTCGCTGCGGGCCCTTCCCCCTTGTGTGGGAGCCAGGTTCTGCCATGCCCCGCTGTACACAGCCCTGGAGCCATCGCCCCTCCCCTGCAGTACGACTGAGCCCCCAGCGCCCCTGCTGCAGGAGGAGATGGGCCCCGCGCTGCGAGCTCCCTCCCCCCCGAACCAGGCATCCAGCCAGGAGTGCCGGGAACTCAGAGTTTGGGGGTTTATTGATCTTCCCTTGGGTGCTGGGCACAGCGGGGGCAGCCAGCGTGAGTGGGGGGAGGGGGATCTGTGCAGTGAGGGACAGCGTGGGGGGGGAGATGTACTCCAGGCGCGTTTCTCTTCCGGGTG